TCTGAAAGAAATTGCAATATTTAAAGTCACGTAATGTCAAACTTATCAGAAATTACTCCTACTTAGCGAATAAAAATATAACAATTCTATTTTGGAATTTCTAAATGTTTTTTGTTCTACTCATATTATATATATATGGACTCCTTTGACAAAATCTAAGTGTATTGAACCAAAACTTGAATTTCATTATTCCAAAAGCTGGACAATTCAATGTTTCCTATTACATAATATCTTATAGAGTATGTTAATACAAAATTGGGACAGTTAAAAAATCAGCATAATTAAAACATACACCAGTTATCAACTATGAATTCTAACCTTTCAATAATCTTATGTATTTGGTGTCTATTTAACCTATTCCAATTTATACTTCAACCATTTATATCATAGAACTCACAAACGATACCCCATTCTTAATTGAAGGCCTTCATAGATGTAAATTCAACATTAATCACAGACTCTTTGAGAGATTATTACGACTCAAATCTTTTTATATACTACCTCCGTCGTCATTTGTATGTCTCACTTTGACTTGACACAATTTTTAATAAAGTGGTTAAAAAGGTAAAAGTTTTTGTTGAGATTTGAATATAATGAAGTAAAATGGTGTAGGCCATATATTGTTTTCCAAAATATGGAAATGAGGCACTTATTTTGGAATAACCTAAAAAGAAAAGTAGGGCATATAAAATGGAAGCGATGGAGTATCATACTCCCTCCGTCCCTATATTATTTTTCAAATTTTCCTTTTCAATTTGTCCTAAAATTATCTTCTTTTTCCCTTTTTGACAAAGAATTTATGGTTCATAACAATTCTTACGCATTTCTCTTTTTACTGCACAACTTCTCATCACAAAAAATTCAGTATCTTAATTTGTGTGCGCGATCAAATGAGGAAATAATATATGAGTAGATGGAGTAATACGAAATAATGCGCTCTTGGGGGTAAATGAGATGGCAGATTCCGTATACCTCTTTTCACTGTTTTTTCCCTGATTCCCCTTAACTTTTGTGCCATTATCTAACTATAGATAGTATAGGTTCGTTCTAATTAGCTGTCAAAATATGCTTCCCTTTAACATGAAGCTAGCTAGAATCGACTTTATTAGCAAATGGATGAAGCATCCAATATTAGATACCACTATTTATTGTGGATTATTAAATGAATTATCACGGACGTTTTAAGGTTATCATATCAACTAATCATTAGTTGGTTTTTACTTGGTATAACCCTATGTGAGTGACCACCGTTTGAATCTACTTATTAAAACTATTTTAGCATCTTATGAGAGCAGAAATAGATATTGAACTATTTGATTGAAAAGACATAATTAATTATGGCGAAAATAGCCTCGCCACACATCCTCTCTCCGGTGCGTGGCCTGGAATATACTGTGTAGGTGATCATGACACCTATCTACCGTTTGATTGAAAGTACATAATTACAACACAAATTTTACGACTTCTTCAAAGTAGGTCGAAATAAAATTCCCCAAAAAATGTCAAACTTTAGAGCATCTTATATGTCATGGATTTAGGGTGGGGTGGGAAGAGGTGAAATGTGAAGTTAGCATATACGATTAGATGTTGCCTTAGCTTAAATTATGGCAAACATTTACTCCCTCCGTCCCATAAAATTCTTTCCACTTTCCTTTTTAGGTCGTCCCAAAAAATTCTTCTCACTTACCATTTTTTGACAATTTGTGTGGTTCACATTCATTTCACATTTTTCTTACACAACAACAACCACACATTTCCACTTTATTCCACTTTCCTAATCTCCGTGTCAAGTCAAAGTGGGAAGAATTTTTTGAGACGAAGGGAGTATTAGATAAGTAAATGGAACTATATCAATAATCAATACTCTTTCAGTCCCAATTTACTTAGTCATCTTTGACTTTTCCAGTCAAAGATGGTAAACTTTGACCAATTATTTAAACTAATATATTTATGCAAAATTTTATCATTTTATACTTTTATGATAGTGTTTTTAACAAAGAACATTTTCATATCATTTTCATATTATTAATATTTTCTCTATATAAACATATAATCGGTCAAAGTTAGATTCATTAACTTGAAAAGTCAAGTTTGACTAAGTAAATTAGTACATAGTAGTATCTACTAAAGAAGCTAAGGAAATAGACTGGCGCCTATTGAATGTTAAGGGCGGAGAAGAATCTTCTAACGTAAGTGGATACGTATAAATAAAAACATATCGGAAAGTCCCCAAGGTTCCATACTTCCATCTGATTTCGTATTAAGAATATCGGAAAGCCCCAAAGCATCGAATTAAAATTACTCTTTTATCAAACTTGACATAAGTGTTCAAGAATTATCAACATTATTACTATTGCTATTATTATTATTGTTATTATTACCGTTAAATTTTTTAAGATATACCCGGTTATACAACACTCTCTGTATAGCTATATTTATATAATTAGACTTGGAAAAATCTAATCACAACAAGAACTACTAAAGAAATCATACATATCACATATATATGTCAACCATTTATACAAGTGTAGAAATGAGTACAATATTCCACCAAGAAAGGAATTCAAATTCACTTTGGATTTTTTCGAATAATTGATAGACATTCAGTATAATATTTATGATTCAATTTTAAAAATTTATATTATTCGTAGTGAAAGAGGAGATATATGTTTTTAATCGAATTGTAATCCCAGTTAATATATTTTAGGGAAAATGGAAACTAATAATCCAACTTTTTAGCGGTCTTCTTACAATAGTCTCACATTTTGATTATTCATGAATAATCCAACTTTTGCACCTCATCTTCATTCACTCGTCCCTGACCGATTTATGACCTGTTATTCCAAGTTATTTTCTTATCTTTGTAAAATATTATACCATAATTCTCGCCTTATGATCACATAATATTTTGCAAAGATAAGAAAATAACTTGGAATAACATCTCATAAATCGGCCAGGAACCAGTGAATAAAGATGGGGTGCAAATGTTGGATTATTCATGAATAATCAAAAGGTGAGACTATTGTAAGAAAACCGCTAAAAGGTTGGATTATTAGTTTCCATTTTCCCTATATTTTATATATTGGGACTCACAACGGTCAAATCTAGACACCCCATATAAATTAAGAATTACGAAGAGTGAAAGAAAGAAAGAATTAAAGAAGGATAGTTAGGGAAGAAGAATAAAAGATGCAATAGATGATGGGTCAGTTTATTAGGGAGTTGGCAAAGAAAGTAAAAACAGACGCAAAATTGTAAGTTATTACAAAAATATCCGATTGTAAGATGGTCACTGGTCACTACAGCTGATTTTTTTTTTCGGGGAACACCTTCCTAATTTATTAAATTAAAGTTTGAATACAAAGGGTTGAGAATCCAAATGGTGAACAAGAAGAACAATACAGAGGAAGAAATAAAAAATGGTACATCAACAATTGAAATTATTTTGAGGGATCCCAATTGAAGCCGAGAGCGATCTGTTATATTTGTTGTGGAACCTGATGACCCTTTTAAGGTAAGGCCTAAATGTTGATTCCTCCGGACGAGATAGCCTGAAGCGCTGGAGAGCTTTTGTTAATTTTTGCGGTGAGTCGAACCTATCGTCAACAGGGTAGAGAAAGTAGTCTGATTCATCTTGCGATCTTTTTGATTGGCTTCTGGTGATCATGGGATGAGATGAGTATCCCACTTCATAGTATAGTTGTGCATCTTTAGTAACTTCGTTTGGTGGGTTCATTGAAATAGTTTTGCTTCTTCTTCTTTGAACCTGTGTAAAGCCTTCAAGATTTCCCTCATCGATCGTGTGATTATCTTCGTGACCTAAAACAGAGAAATGTTTATTTCTTCTGATTGTATATTATACTAACGAAGAAATGGAGCACATATATCAAGGTGATGTTAATGATACACACACAAACTACTACGTACGTATTCGTCCATTTAGGTTGCTTATTTTATTTATGAAATTTTATCAATTCAGGACCCGAATTGAAAGATAGACAAATTATCAATCCGGGACCTGAAAAATGAAATGCAACAATATAGGACTCGAATGATGAAAAACTATCAATGTAGGACCTGAATGATTGAAAACTATTAATTTAGGACCTAAGTTGTCATAAATTTTATTTTATTTTTTATTTTAAAAATTTTAAATATTATTTAGTTTTATTAAACTAATAAACTTTTTTGAAGAAAAGTTTATCAGAAATTAGTAATGGAATTAATAAAAAATTAAATAAATGAAAACCTATGGAACATTAGGTCCTAAATTGATAGTTTTCCATCATTCGGGTCCTATACCGATATGTTTCATCTTTCGGGTCCTGAATTGATAATTAATCTATCTTTCGGGTCCTGAATTGATAAAATTCCTTTATTTATTATTGGTATTTCTTAAAAGTTATCGAATAAAAAATAATTTGAGAAATAATCTAACAATCATAGGAAGGGTGCAGCTCCCATTAAAAGAGTGTTTGACGTGAAAAGTACGAAATTTTCAATTTTTCATTGTCGCATTACACATTCAGGTTCAAATGTTGCACTTTTTTCACAAAATCGTTATCTATTTACAAAAATATTACCGCGTTTTTAACTCAATATGTGGCATTGTTGGCACTTTGAGAGCAATCACATCTCAAATTTAATGCACGAAAATAATTCTCACTTTTCACATTAAATTTTATTTTTACTTGCTTCAAAAAAGCCAGAATGAAAACTAGAACTTCAATTCATTTACCGGCCAACAATCTCATGATGTAAACAGAATCTATTTCGAAAAGTACGTATTACTACATAGTAATGGTAACTTTAAGAAGTTACCATTCGCTCTGATCTCTCTTTTCTTGTCTTTTGGTTTCTTTGATTCCCCTTTCTCTTTAATTTCGAAAATCCTCAATCTATTTCTACAACTCCACTTTATTCTCTGCCTAATATCTCCAACAAATTCCCCTAGAATCAAAAGAAATCTCTCTTCCTACTCTATCTATATATCCTCATTTGTATTCTGTCACAAACAAGAAGTCTCTCCTTTCTCTCTCCCCAACTCCATCATTTAGAGTAAGCTAAGAATCAGTTATATTTACATTTACATTTCTTGATTGTAATGAATCAAATCACCCCAAATTGAATTATATTGCCTACTCCATTATATCATCTATCTACACTTCTTAATTAATTATGACATCGTTTGGAGAGCACCATCACCACAGTGATAATCCAACGCCCCAAAAGCTTGAAGAATTCCTCTCTCGCCTTGAAGAAGAACACGTCAAGATCGATGCTTTTAAACGTGAGCTTCCTCTATGCATGCAACTCCTCACCAATGGTATGCTAATTAATCAATATAAGTACTAGTTAATAAACTTTGATGAGTATAGTCATGGGAGGAGCTGGGGTATCTAAGCCCCGGTCCATCCCAAATTAAAAAATTCTTAAAATATTCGGTGTAAAATAGTAGTCCCTCCGTCCCGCTAACAATGGGACGAGAGGGAGTAGCACGTAAATTAATAAAAAGTGGTTTATGTTGTTGATATTGAATTGATAAAATAAGAATAAAGTAAGAATGATCTAGAGCCACACAAACTTTACCAAATTTGGTATGAGACAATCTTAGTGGGACGGACCGATAAGGTAAAATGGGACAATCATAGCGGGGCGGAGGTAGTATGTGTTAAAAAAATTAGAAATTGCTGTAAATAGGAGCAAAAACGTTTTGAAATTCCAAAATAGGAGTGTTATGTTTTTTATTCCCTGAATATGAGTAATCTGCCAAGTTTGGGAAAAAATGCCATGTTTTAAAGCCTAGTAATGCCAAACTTGGCAGAAATTTACTCATATTCAAGGAATAAAAAACATGATACTTCTATTTTGGAATTTCAAAACATTTTTACTCCTATTTAGGGAATCTTCTCTAAAAAAAACCACTGTTAGTTTGGGCCCATGATTATGCCACTAAGGAATTTGGGAGTTCAAATGTTGTTAGTTTGAAACACTCACCCAACTTTTAAAAAAATGTTTTGGAGCACTTAGAAGTATTTCTGCATTTTCATTCAAACACTCAAATGTTTAGTTTCTGTTCTCTGCAATAGTAGAATTATGATTGAAGCAGCTTTATAAAAAGCAAGTCCAAACACCTTTTAGAAGTCTCTAGATGACTCATTTAGTTTGTTTAAGTATGGTATATTAATTTGTCATGTTTTCTTGGGAGTTGTGTCTAGCTAGCTTGGTCAATTGCTTGGCACTTTGGTATTTAGGGTACGTTCTTTTGCTTTACTTCGTTTCGGGTTTGTTACGTTGAAGACTTGGAAGCCGGATTTGTCATGTTGAAAAACAAAAATTGAATTCAACCAAGAAATCATATCGTACGTTATGGATTTAATTAGACTCAACTTTCTTTGTGTTTTGTGCCCTGTTCGCTCTTGCCTCTTGCTATTTATGCTTTTTAAATTTTTTGACCATGTAGTTGGATTTATAGGAGGTGATGGTATTTAGTTCTGATTCATTTTGCTAATTATATTGGTAATGGGATTTTAATTAAATATGAGGTACTAATAAAACGATCTTGGAGAAATATTCATGCATATATGTGTGTCTCTCTCTGTGTGTGTGTATATATATATATAGGGGATGGTTCAAATACAAAGAACTCTTCCCATGCAAAGTGAGAATGAATCTTGTGCATTCATTTCCACATCTAATGGCTCAAAATGAGCAAAAAATGCACAAAATCGACCAAAATTGTGGTGACAATTTTGTAAATATGTTGCACTTTTTCGTTACCGCAAAAAAGTGCAACAGAAATACGCAAAAGTGCAAGCGAAACATGTAAAAGTGCATTTCTTCGCACTTTGCACGGGAAGAGGTCTTTTTATTTGAACTCTTCCCTTTATATATATATATATATATATATATATATATATATATGTGTGTGTGTGTGTGTGTGTGTATGTATGTATGTATGTATGTATCTACCATTACGATTAAGTAGTTAAGGATGTGCTACCAGAATCATGCATATATTTTAATAGTGCTTAAGTTTGGTGCATGTTTTGAAGACTTTAGTTGGTTAACCAATAATAAATACTTCAACCTCTCATTTTAGCCCAAATCGGATTGGACAACATCGATGTGTGTATAAGTAGATTAAACAGGCCCTCCAGCTCAACGAGCTACTTTAATCATGAGTACTAAACAACATTATACTATAACTAAACTTGATACCATGTTAAGACTCAAATTGCATAGTAACAGGTCAATCGAATAAGAAAAGTAGCTCAATATTTTGTAAAGTGTTTTACTCCATCACTTTAATTTATTCCAATCTAATGTAGGACAAATACTTTAGCATAAAACTTTCTCATATTTGGCTACTCGGATTTGATGTGATTCAAACAAACTAGATCAAATGAGAACTATAGAGTATAGACCGGACCAAACTTAATATGTGAGAGCATGTGAAAACATCTTCACCAACAAAACTAGGAGCTAACAATTAGGCTATACTAACAAAAGTATTGCGTAATAAAATTTCTCATATCATTAATCTCCATTTCTTCAATGTGTACATTATATAATGTTTATCTAGCTCGATCACTATTTGGATTTAATTTATTGCTCATTTACTTATAAACTGCCAGCTATGGAGGCTTCAAGGCAACAGCTAGAATCATTGAGGGCAACCCATGGGGCAAGAAGGCCTTTTCTTGAAGAATTCATTCCTCTCCGTAATTCCATCTCCGATGGAACGGACCAAACCGAAGCAAACTCCGCCTCCGGTGACAAGGCGAATTGGATGACCACCGCACAACTATGGAGTCAAGGAAATAACAATAACAATAGCAACAACAATAATAACGATAACGATGATCTTAATAATAGTAATAACAGTGAAACTGAGATAGGGTTTCATGTTACTAGCCCAGGTAATAATAAGCTTCCTCCTAATGGAGCTGGAGGAGGTTTTCTTCAATTTTCAAGAAGCCCGGTTTTAGCCCTGGCTTCACCGGACAACCAAGAACTGGGAGAGGAGGATCAAAAGAACAACTTGGATATTGCAAATCTTGGCAGGTGTCTTAATCGAAATGCAATCACGGTTGAGCATGGGAAAGCGGCTGCCGGTGGCGGCAGTGCTACGGTTTCTCAGTCGTCGCAGGATTCTCGGACGGCCGCCGCACATAGAAAGGCCAGAAGATGTTGGTCGCCTGACTTACACAGACGCTTTGTTAATGCTCTACAGATGTTGGGAGGTTCTCAAGGTAATTTTGATCACGCATGATGCATGCATGCATTTTACAAGAGATTTACCATTTTAGTCTTGAAATTTTCCTCCTTGAATTAGAGGTTTTCTCATATAATTATTAATTAATAACATAAATGTGTATAATTTACAGAATTTATATTTGAAAGTATACTTTCTGATGAAAAATATAAATAAAAAACGGTGAGATTGTATTTTCTACCAGAAAGTGTACTTTCTTGTGAAACTTCTTAAATTGTAAACATTTATTACATGATCAAGCTAAGTTTGCAAGAAAGTAACATTACATGACAAATTACGGCACAACCTAAATTGTAAACAATTGAAAAGCTCCCTAATTTCTAAATTTTAATAGTTAGATTTGCAGTTTTAGTCCCGTAACTTTTCGTTGTTTTCATTATTAGTCTTGTAACTGTAATCACTTGTAAATTTAGTCATGTAACTAATAAATCTTAGTGAGTTAAGGACTTTCGCCTCGAAAAGTCCACTTTTCGGCAAAAAAAATCCCGGAATAGATGTCGACGGATTCATGACTCGCCTCAAATTAGAAAAATACTTACATACTCCCTTCATCCCGTAAACAACTTCACACTTTATTTTCACACATATTAAAGAAATAAACTTACGTGGGGTAAAATTTACTATTTTGACACTGTTTGGACACTGTTTGACACTGTTTGGTACTTGGATGTAGACAATTTGCCAAATAAGGAAGTGGAAATAAGTGTGAAGTTAATTTCGGAACTGCACGAAAAGGAAAGTGGAAAGTTATTTCTGGGATGGAGGGAGTATATTTTATGGTAGATTCTATGGTACGCTTAAGGTACCATATATTTGTCCAAATGGACCAATAAGAATGATGCAATTGAATTAATTAAATCTAAATTAAAAGGAATAGAATGATTTGGACCAATCAAATGCATAGTAGGTACGGTACCTCAATTTTTAAAAAGGTACCGGAGTTGTCACCTTTATTTTATACTCCGTATGTAAATTCATGAATTAAAATTTGTTAAAACCGTTTTTTGTACTACTGATGTGAGAAATTTTATGTGTTGTTTATTTTAGAGAAAATTGCACTTTTAGTCCCTGAAATAGTCATCATATTGAAATGTCAGACCCGTGTTCCCCAATTTGTAAATGTCGCCTCTCAATTGTCCAAATTGTTGTGAATGTGGTCATTTGAATGGTGTACAGTGTGAGCGAGGATTATATTTCATCCCTCAAAGGACCACGTTTACAATAATTTGAATAATTGATGGGTGACATTTACAATCTCATAAATACAGGCATGACATTTCTATATGGTGATTATTTCAAGAACTAAAAGTACGATTTTTCCTCTATTTTATTACATATATTTAGGTTTTATTCCAACTTTTACCTCTTCTACAGTACTGAAGTGGGTTATATAGGCTTTACAAAACCACTCGAAACTTACTACGGAGTATATTTCTATATAAATCTCGCACAAATTATTTGTTTTTATTGCTTTTGTAAATACTAATGACAAACCAAGTGACGCAAGGAGTATTATTAATTTACTACGTATGTGTTATTCATATGGCTGATATTTTTGTTGGCAAATCATTACAGTTGCAACCCCAAAGCAAATCAGAGAACTCATGAAAGTTGATGGTTTGACTAACGATGAAGTTAAAAGCCATTTGCAGGTATATATGTAAATATACAATCATTCAAACGGTTGAAAGAGAATGGACAAAAAATTCTCCATTTTAAAACTCTTAAATTGAAATACACAACTAACCCTCCTAGTAATAGCAAAAATATGCTTCTATTCCCTGTTCGAAATTGATTTGTAAAATTAATATTTTTTTGTCAACCAATGATACCCTAATATTGTTAATTAATTTAATTTTTAATAATTAAATTTTACATATTTAAAATCTACATTAAAATCTCTTCAAAATTGTAAACACCAAATTAGAATATAATTTAAAAATGACATCTCAATTAAGTGAATAAAATGAAATTGTTTGACCAAGAAAAATCAATTTTACAAATGAATAAAGGTATTATACTTTTTGTGCATATTTAGCACATTTTGTCTATATATATATATAGACAATTTTCCAAAAAAAACAATTGCACCTTTTAAACGTATTGTATTGTGTGTGGCGAAACAGACAGCCACATTTTCCCATAGAAGTTTGACTTTTGACTGATTAATGTTGGATTTCATGCACAGAAGTATAGGCTGCACACAAGAAGGCCAAGCCCGACCCCACAAGCCACAGTCGCCTCAACCCCACAGCTAGTTGTCCTAGGAGGCATATGGGTCCCACCGGAGTACTCAACGGCGGCCACCACACGCGGTGACGCTCAAGCACCTGCCACCCTCTACGGCACCGCACATCCCAATTCCCAACACTTCTCTATGGGTCATGAATTCTTTGCCGCTCCACCGCCGCCTCATCACCTTCCGTTCCACCACCAGCAGTTCCACCTCTACAAGACGCCGCCGTCACTTTCACGGACACAACATTCCCGCGAGTCTGATGCTCGGAGAACCGGCGATCAGTCGGAGAGCATTGAGATTGGAAAGTCGGAAAGCGGCAGCTGGAGAGCAGATAGCGGAGTCGAAAATGGCGGAGAGAGAAAAGGAAGGGTGTTAAAGGAGGATGGAGAAGTCAGCAATGGAAGAAGTGATATCACTCTCAAGTTCTAACATTTCCTAAATATATGATTGACGTTTAGATATAATTAAGATTGATATTAATTCACTTGATTACTGAGAATTAATTAATACTAGGCCAATAATTTATTTGAGAATTTGTTAATTTTAATTAGATGTTAGTTTTCGAATGTATGTGTGCAAATATGGTTAATAGGCCATAAATAAAGAATTAAGAGTACTTTTTTGTTGCTTATGACATGACTAGATTGAAATGACGGTTTTCCTTTTTATGACCAATAGATTCTCACTTGCGCGGATGAAAATTTACCAATTTGTGTTTAAGAATTGTATTATAAAAACGCTAAAAGAATTGAACTCATAATAAAGTAATAAGTATATAATAAGTATTCGTAGTTAAGAGAGATATACATTTCAAAGTATGAAGTGGTGAGAAAAATAATAAGTGTTCATCATGAAACAATAAATTAAATTCTGAAAGACTTCTTTGTAAAAATCATTAGTAGTATGATCGATTTGTTTGACATCTTCATCACAAATCAATATTTTCAAGTCTTTGCGATTGGTAACTCTTGACGCTGCAACGTAAAGTTGACCATAAGTGAAGCATGAATTTTTAATAAAAACTCAACATGCATTAGAGATTGTTCTTGACTCTTGTTTATAGTAATCGCATAAGAGATTGTCTTATTTGGAACTTGAATGATATTCTTGCATCTGAAGGTGTTAACGTCAATCTCGGCATGACTACTTCTTGACCATAGAGATAGATATAATAATATTTGTTTACTTAACAATTAATAATAATACCAAAGAATCATAAAAATTATAATTTATAAATGAGCGAAAAGAAAACAGGGGTATATAATAAAAGGTTTTATAATAAATATTCCGTAAAAAGAGCAAGTAGGATTCAATCAATATAAGTTGGAATAAGTATGATTCAATCCATATAACATTACGAGCATGGGTGGGCTACATTTGTGGAATTCCATTGTGTATATTTTTTAGTGTGACCATAAAAAATGAACAATCAATGCTATAAGTATTTAAATACATAAAATATGTAATTTATAAACTGTATACTACTATCTCCATCCCATTTCATGTGTCTTATTTCAGATTGACATAATTATTAATATAGTAAAATTAATATACTAAAATGTTATAGACCACATATTTGTTTTCACAAAAGAAAATATGATACTTATTTTGGTAAAATCTAAAGAGGAAAGTAATATATGTGAAATGGGACGGAGAGTATATAAAGTATTATAAAATATAAAATAAAATATAAATTAAAAAAAGAAAATCTAAAATATAAAAACAAAGAATATATTAAATATAAAAATATTAAATATAAAAACACTTATACTTTAAGAGTTTAAGATATAAAATATGACAAAGAAGCCCGTTCAAGAGCTCAAGACCACTTACAATATAATTCCATTTATCAGCCCTTTAGAAATAAAAGAAGCCCAATTATTGTCCAGCCAAGCCCAGTCCACTGAATTAATTTAATACTGCATTCTTAAATGGGTTTTTTTCACAAATAAGCTTAAAACTAGAAATAATATCACTTTTTTCATTTTTTAGTTTTGTTTTCAAAAATAGACTACGCTAAATCTTCTTTTCATAAATAGTTCGCTATTGCTTAAACCCTCAACGGAATGTTTAGAAGCAGTGGGGTGATAGACCCAGTATACTTAACAGACAACAAACATAAGCAGTGAAGAAGAAGCAGATAGAAAGATATGGAGAAAATCAAACGAATCTGGTATACCGTGTAAACTGGTCGCTGCTCTCCCTGGAGAAGGAGAGCAGTGGCAAACCCTATCTCTCTATCTCTCCTCTGCGCCTCTAAAGCCTTTATTCGATAATTAGGGTTCCCGTAAGTTAGCCTCCTTTTATAGGAGAAGTTGGCTAACTTACGGGTTACAAGGAAGCCCCCGGGCTGATACACATTTGTGGCCCGTATTACACGTTTAATTGATAACTACACAAATACAAAGATAACTAACTAGATTGAACACCATAAAATATTCCCAACCATCTCCCCCTTGGTGATCAATCGTGTTGAATCAGCATTGCAGCGTAGATATCTTTGTCTTTGTTGTTATTGAGCTTCCTTTATCTTTGAACTTGACTTCTGAAGAAGGCTATCTGAAGAAATCCTTGCAATCTCCCCTTTGATGTCTTCTTGACAATTTGATCTTTGATGCCGGGGGTTGAGGGACCTTCAGTATCTTGCATGTAGTCCTTGCCTTCCAGAAGTTGCTCTTGATCAGCTTGGATGAAGTCCGGTGACGCCTCTAGAATGAATATTCTTTGGAGAATAGGAGACGCCCATGAAATTCATCTTCAGGACACGAGTATTTGACCTTTGTCTCCTCCACAATGTAGTCTTTTTGACTATTTGGAATGAATGCTTTAGAGGAGAACTTGTCGGTGGCATAGCGGAACATAATGATGGTTGACTTGTGAGCGTAGCTGACCATTTGAGTTGCGGAGATAGTAGAGAGAGTGTTGGAGGAGAGAAGTGTCCCAGAATGATTTTTTTTTTGACAGTTAACAGCATGTGGACAACTCTCCCCCTCATGACGATCCGATAACTCGGGGCGTCATGCCTTTATTCTTTTATTCTGCAGAAATAAAACCAGGAAAAACAAGCAGAATGTAAAGAAGATAACGTAGCCCCCAGGGGTCGTGAAGACGCCCGTTATCATCACTATAGAGATAAACTCTAAAGCAATGGCCTGAAAATGTTGGTGATTCTGGTGTTGCAACAGCAGGACTTCCTTCCAATTATTGGTCTACATCTGTAATAGATGAGCCCTATGGAAGTTCTCGCGGGTCATGTAGACCGCAACTGACTCTGAAAGTGCGTCTGTGTCCTAGAAAATTTCAAAACATTTGGGAGTGAGTAACTAGACACAACGTGATCAATGAAAGTTCAGTGGCATGGGGCTGAGGCCACTGTAGTCAGTATTACTTTCCTCGGAAGGAGATAGTAATGAGAGATGCGGTTCCCCGTGAAATATGATTAAACACTTGTCTGTTGGGAGACAAGTGAGTGGTCTTGGATAGGGTTCAACATGCACTGTTGGACAAGATGCAGTGACTTCTACCCGGGATCTTATTAAATCAGTCCTGAACCTATTTGGGAATTGTCCAGAGTATTTGAGTGGCTAGGAGTAAATGTTCAATACATAGCAGGCAGTTGAGGTAGAAGACTCATCATTGATTATTGTTTTACTTCTCACTTGAGCCTTCTGCTTCCTAATGCTCATAATTTTCACTCACTCACTTGCTCACTCACTCACTTGCGCTCGGCTTTGTCCCTTGGGTAGGGTTTGTTGGGTTTACTAAGCCATAGGGACATGTTCTCTCATTACTTTCTTCATTTTCTCTCTGTACCTCCCCTCAACTGGAGCACTCGGTATGCTATGTCATTGTTAGGCACCGGGAAGGATAACATTGATCACTCCCCCTAGAATGTTGCATCCGTTGAGAGATTCCTTGCTTTGTCAATGTAAGGCGCCAGGAGGAGAAAACTGAAACTCCCCCTCAGAATGTGCAAGGTTTGATTGCTCACAGCTTGTCATACCCGCCATGTGTGTGGAGCAATCTGAACAAGTACCACACATGACGGTTCCCTGAGCTCACCATGTAGAATTTCAGCATATTGATGATCACATAATGTTGACGAGTCAGGGGAGGCTTCAGCAGTTGATTGTTGATTGTTGTAAGATGACCGTTGACGCGAGGTTGATTGAATTATCTACGATTTTCAGACCTTTACATTGAAGTTTAGAAAAGCTTTGACCTCAGGGTTGACAATGAAAGAATTTGAACAAATTTGCCTAAGTTTTGACCTGGACATCGGTGATTTACAATGTTTGTCGGAAAACTAACGTTTTGATGCTCAAGGACTGCGAGTGAGGGCGCGTGAGAAAGGGTTCTGGGGCATAGCCTGAGAATTAATGTAGATCTTTGCGTTAGCTTTCCAACAAAAAACGTTTGCTCAAATAGGATCACCGAGTCAAAAGTTATGGCTAAAACAGTGTGGTGACGCAGAAAATCTCTAATTTTGAGTTTTTGAGGAAAATCTTCGAGGTTGAGGTTCTCGATGTTGAATTTCGAGAGCAGGTGAATTTAAACAAAATTCTAAGGCAAAAACTCAAAATCCAAATATCGAGATTTTAATTTCGAGTTTGCCTTGAAGAGTAATGACGAAATCCACCTGCAAAACAGACCTCAGAATAACGAAATCTTCAGAATTTCAAAATGTTTGGAACCTCGAAAACTTTGGAGTTTCGAAAAACCTCATAATATCGAAAACTTGCTGTTTGAAAAACATCAGAACATCGAAAACTTCTAAAACTTTGATAAACAGGGAATCATTCAGATATCTAAAATGTAAAGCTTCGATGAACTGCAAAGGATGTCAAGATTCGAATTATGAGTTCCAAGAAACTGCAAACTTTGAAAGATTCAAAACATCGAGAAATTCCGAAATTTCTGAATTTTTTTAGAATGTCGAAATCCAAAACATCGAGTTCCTAAACTCGAAATAAATTCCAAAACTCGCAATTCCAAAACTCTCAAATTTTAAAAACTCGAGGTTTAAAACTCGAGGTCAGAACTCGAGGTTTAAACTCGAGGTCAGAACTCGAGGTTTAAACTCGAGGTCAGAACTCGAGGTTTAAACTCGAGGTCAGAACTCGAGGTTTAAAACTCGAGGTCAGAACTCGAGGTTTAAAACTCGAGGTCAGAACTCGAGGTTTAAAACTCGAGTTGAAGACCGCGAGTTTACAACTCGAGTTGAAGACCGCGAGTTTACAACTCGAGTTCATGATTGCGAGTTTAAAACTCTCGATTTTTAAAAACTCTCGACTTTTGAGAATCTGAAAACTGTTCTGAATAGCCGTGAAGGTCGCGATCCTTCCTGTATCTGTTTCAAATCAAAATCGTTTCTGCAGCAGTGAAAAAGCATAAACTCGCAATTCATGTAAAGTTCGTATGAAAATTTGCAGAAATCGAAAAAGAGTATATGCTGCTGGATCGGCTTTGAAGGGCGAATCCAACAGTATAATTTTTACAGATTTTCATTCACAAACAAGATTACAGGAGCAAAACTCTATATGAAGAGAAACAGAAGAAAAGCAGAGCATTCTTCGTTAGATCCAAGAAAATCACAGATACATTCAACCTGTTTCACGCCTCGGCTCTGATACCAATTGATAG